ATGAAATAGTCATCTAGAGGTTGGAAGAGAGTATAGAGTAGGCAAATGAAACAGAACTGCTAGGCAGTTATTTCAAACACTAAATAGGCAGCCAGCTGAGTTAAACAAGGGTTGGGATTTTGTCAGACAGTACACTGAGGTGAGAGGGGAACAAGAGAGTTGAGAGTGATTGTAGTGACAGACCATGGAGTCTAAGTTGAGTGATGGTGGAAGGGAGTAGGAAATAGTGAAAAGGTGGGAGATTGATGGATTGTAGGTCCTATTGGAGTTGAGAACTGTAGGACTTGGGGCGGTGAGCTGGAAGAATAGGAGGTGGAGGTTGGAGAGAGGGAGGTTGAAGCTGAGGTTATAGAGGGGGTACAGTTGTGGAGATGACCAGGTTAAGGTGTGACCATGGGAGTGAGTGATGGAGGTGGGGTGGAAGAAGGGATTATTGAGGGAGAGGGATATTCAGTGAAAACGGAGGTCGCAGAGGTGACTCGCACAGGCATATTTATTTGCCCCACCTTCCTCTGCCCTATTGGCGTTTGCCCTTCTTTGTGTGGGGCTTATGGTTGGAGGAGGAAACTCTCTTTATTGCCTGGCTGGCTATTGACCATCTGGTTTATTTCCTGGCTGGTTTGTGTTTGTGTTTTGTTGAATAATATTCACTGAAGCCTATAACCCAGACCCATTAGAGATTGGTGGGTGCACCACGGTTTACATTTATTTACTCTATGTTTTTCATTGCCTGTCAAGCCCTATCTGTGTGAATAGAGCCCTTCGCTTAAACATGGTCATGTGCTTTTAGTTCCCATCACCAGGGGAGCCTCTGATTATCAAGGGCAAGAGAGGCTGGGTGGATCCCAGCCAATTCATGCCCACCGTGAGTAGCTTGGAACATCATGATCCTAGTACTCTGCACAAAGGACAGTGACTTTATCATTATCATCATCATATCATGCTTTCTTTCTGTCCTGGGACCAGCACTGCAGACATGACAGGATGAGGTGGTCAATGAACATGGGCTTTGGAGGCAGGGGACGTGGATTCAAACCTAGCTCCACCAATGACTAGTGGTGTGGACTTGGGCAAATTACCTACCCTTTCTGAGCTCCAGATTTTCAGATTTCTTGTTCTTGAAACATAGGTAATGCCACTCTGTATTGTTTGAATACAAAATAAGATAATGCAGGTGAAAGGGCATTGATCAGAATAACTTAGCAGATATTAAGGACTCAATAAACATTAATTCCTTCTTTTTTCAGAGGATTGAGTCCATTCAACAGGTATTTATTGAGCACCTGCATCCTTGTGCACTGTTCAATCATGGAGGGTGGGGGTATTCTCTGATGGCAGGATGACTTCTGGCAGCCTTTGGACAGGCCCAGGTGGTAGTCCTTTATGGAGTTTTATTGGCCTCTCACCTGGGCAAAGTCTAATCTTGCTGCCCCTGCCTTCATTGCCCTTGGCTTCTGTACAGACTCTTTCTATTGACTCCCGGTTGCTGATTTAACTTTATGAAACATAAAAAGCTGACAGTAGCCTCACCTGAGGAGAAGGGGTGACTGAAGGGAAGGTGAGGAACTTGGGCTTACAAGGGGCTTTGATAGGAAATGGGTGGGCTGGGATTGAGTCTTACCCAGTACTCTGATTGCACAACTCTAAAGGGGAAGGGAATCTTTTTATCTCCTAGGTGACAACTTGGGGAGCATCTTGTCTGGATTTCCACTTACAGTTCATTCTTTAGAAGAGCTTCACAGTAGAGTTGTCTAAGGATGGCGTGGGCTACCTTTGGAGACACCATCATAACATACACCACCATATAAAGTGCTCAAAATTAGAAGGAAAAATCATTTGAGAAGATGCTTGAGCAGAGGTTCTCAAACTTGAGCGAACATCAGAATCACCCGGCATACTTGTTAAACACAGATTGCTGAACCCCACCTTCAGAGTTTCCAATTAAGTAGGTCTGGGGTGGGGCTAAATAATTTGCATGTTTAACAAGCTCCCAGGTGATGATGATATTGTAAATATGGGACAATTATAGATGATATTCAAGCAGCAAATGAAGGTTATCTTTAATTTCTTGGTCGCCTCTGAAATGCTATGCTCCTGTAAGTTCTTGAGGGCAATATTACTGAAATCTTGGTTTTTCTCCTGAAACTTTTTCCTACTCCATTCTTCCCCATCTCAGTAAATGGCTATTCACCCAGTTACTTGAGCCACAAACCTTGGTATTGCCATCAATTCCCCTTTCTTCCTCTGCTGCCCCACACCAACCATGGGCCCTAGAGATCTCACCTCTGAACCATGTCCCAAGTCTGCCTCTCTGTCTCCACAATCATTACCTAGTCCAGGCATTCAACAGATAGTTATTGAGCACCTATATCCCTGGCCACTTCCCCTAACCATGGTTGTGTGCTTACCACTTCCATCTTAATTGGTTTTACTAGGGGAGTCTCTGAATGAAACTTTATTTACGAAAACAGGTGGTGGGCTGGATTTGGCCCACAGGCCTTAATTTGCCAG